TTTACCTGTCTCAGACCCTTAGGTAGCGAGCACTACCACACAAGCCTCACAACCCTGCTCAATCAACCTTTTAGCTTGTAAAGAAGAAAGAAAACAAGAATGACTAGGGACCTCAATCACCTCTGGCACTTCTACTAAAGTCACGATCTTAGCCACACAATCTAATAGCACCATAAGCTAACAACCAATCTATACCGATGATTAAATCAATCCCTTGCATAGGTAATTTGATCACATTCACTCAAGTCGATCACTTAGTAAAAGTTATCTTAATCCTACACACTACACTGGATCGACCGACCAAACTAAAAGTAGAGGAAACTTCTATATCATAGGGCAAATGGTCAAAAGACATACCTATTCTATCTAAACGCTCAACAAAAATAAAAGAATGCATCACATCACAATCAAATAAAGCTTCTAAATCAAGGCCATAGATAGAAACCATATCAGTAATTAGATTCAATGACTTCCTAGCCTCCTCTTGAGATATTGTATACACTTTATCGAGAATCATGTTCCTCTAGTCTGAGCTCTCATGCAAATCAGGGCAGTCACAGATCAAATGGCCTAACTTTCCATACTTCTGGTAAGCAAAGCAGTGACCAGAATGAACCCTACCATATCTATCGCAAGGTAACCTTGCTGTGGTCAGAATTGGGGCTTGATTGGCCTGTGAAGAACGTGCTAGAGCATTCCTAGAGAAATGAGAACCCCTAGATCTCATATTACCACCCCAATTACCTTGAAATCTTAAACCCCTAATTAAATTTCAATTACCAGAAGTAGAAGAAGACCTAGCTCTAAAGGAGCCACCAAAAGAAGAACTAGAGCTAAGACTCATTCTCTTGGATATACCACCAGTAAGAGCCAACCCAGAAGAAAATTAACCTCATGTATCCCTACTCTGGCTACTCTCTACGTCTCAGCCTCGATGAGTGGCAATCTTTAGATGATTGCACATCTTATCATATGTCGCCTTGCCCAATAAAGATAGTTGCTGGCGGTACTCTGGTCTCATCTTCTCTAATAACCTCTTTGCTTTCTACTTGCTATCATTGGAAGCATTCAAATAACTTGAGAACTTAGACAGCTCATTGAATTTCCTTATAAAGGTCTCCTCATCTAAGTCCCCCTACTAAAAAGCATGAAACTCTACCTCTTTCTCATCTCTGAAAGCTAGTGGAAAGTGAAAATCATAAAATCTTTCCTTAAATTCAGCCCAAGCCATAGATCTTCCATCCGTAGGCTTAACAAAATCCTACCAATACTTGACTTCACTAACAAGCTACATCGTAGCCAAGATAACCCTCTGCTCAGACATACATCTGACCATAGTAAATAACTGCTCCATTCAATCCAACCACTCCTCAACTTTCCCATCAAACATACTACCATCATATGTGGTCAGATTAGTATGAGAAAATTCCTTCCAAGTTTTGTATATGTCATCCTCCAGGTTTTCAGCAACCGGTCCATGAACTCACATAGCACTAGAAGCTCCTTGCCCAACAGCTGGGTCAACATGTTAATCTGGAATAGCATGACCTCTAACATTTTGTTATATATCCACCATCACTTCAAGCAGCCTAGCCATGACTGCATCTATCCCCTATGGTGGTGGTGAAAGTGAAGGTAGAGAAGATGGAGGTGGTAGTCATTTCTCATTCCTCGATCCACCTCTTCCTCTTCAAGCCATATTACAATTGAAAGGTGTGCATTCATACGTGTATGGACCTTTCTCCCTTCCTAAAGGAACAAGCCAGAAAATGAAAACATAATGTCCCCCAGGTTAGTGACATAAGGAAAAGAGCATAAGAGTAATGTATTTAGGGTGCCAACTAGGAAAGAGGAATCATAAACCTAAAATGGTCCCAAATATAACACTTGCCCTGAATGTTATCCAAAAATTACACAATTCAAACAAACTAAGTGTGGTTAAGAAGTTGATCCTAAAACCAACTTAGGTAACAAATCATTTAAATTAATAAACAAATACACCATCACAAAATAAACGTTTAAAAACTTTAGTAAAATTTATAAGTTCTACCTATAGCCCGCAGAAGCAAGCTAGATGAAAGTGGGATAAAAATATGCTATCATGACAGTATTAAATCGTTGCCATGACAACCCTCCCGGACCAACTTCCAGGAGGTGCTGTTCCACCATTCAACCTCCGATCGACGTGATTTTAAAGCTCACACATCATTTTTAATAATTACTAGTACTGTACCAAATTACAAAATGATCTAATGGTTGGATTAGAATTTGGACACTCTTAAAGATTGGATGAAGTTGCTATCATGACAGCATTTTTGGACCAACTTCCGAAGTGCACAATTTCATCATCTGACCTCCGATCAGAGTAATTCTAAAGCCCACATGTCACTTTTAAATAATACTATTAGTATACTAAATTTTGAAAAAGGTCTAATGGGTTGATTGAAATTCGTGCATGTTGCAACATCAACACTGTTGCTATCATGACAGCACTTTTGTTGTCATGACAGCTCCTCCGGACCAAATTTCAGAGTATGCCATTTTTTCGTCTAGTGTCCAATCGATGTGATTCCAAAGCCCACATGAAACTTATAAAAAGTTTTACTTGTGACCTAAATTTTAGAGAAATTCAACGATCAGACTAAGATTTGGACACCTAGATGTAAAAATACAGTTTTTTTGGTAAAAAACCATTTTCAAAATTGTCCAAAATCTCATCCTAATGGTCACAAACTTATGAAAACACTTTGGACACATCAAATGGGACTAAAAGTACCTAATAAAACATTCAAATGATGGAAAATTCCTATACATTAAAATTTGACCACCCAGGTGCCATTTCCCAAAATGGACCTTAAACCCTAAAAATACACAAATCACACAAGAGTGGCCAAAAACTATTTCAAATATCATATACATATATGAATACACACACTAAATATTTTCACTTGGCTCAGATATCTCCGTGGGGCCCACACACCCACTCTCTCTAAGGTATATGTTTATCTATAGCACACTATTTACAAATGCAACCACTTTGTATTTGCTTATAGAATCACATATATATCAAAGTAAGTATCTGCTTGTAGTAGAAACTTAGTCTACTAAATAAATCTATCAACACCACATATCATAACCAAGTTTCTAGCTACAAGTCTACAAGCAGACAAAAATTCATACACAAGCCATACAATCCACACATATTCACACACATATATACATAATCACATCATACTGGCACCCTAATTCTAAATGTATTACAATAAATTTGCTCAAAAGAAAGGGGTTGCAATTCTTTACAAATCACAAGCAAACCCATAACTTTGCTCCTTTCCCCATCTACCACTAGATCCTTCGCCTGGACCTGTAAATATTGTAAAGAAAGGGGTAAGACATGTAACATTCTAATTTAATTTTTAAATTCAATTAGAATTAATGAAAAAATAAAAAGAATATTTGATAAAGAAATTGATTAGATGATCTCCTTTTGTTTAACATAGAATATAATTTTATGTTAAGATGTGTTTTAGCAAATGAAAAAAAAAGCTAAGGCTTGTTAACTTGATTATTAAGTTATAATATAAAAAGAGAGAGAGAGAGAGAGAGAGACAAGAGGTAGTGGAAAGAGCATATAAAAGTATGGTTATTAAAACCGGACCGAACTAGCCGGTTCGACCAGTTCGACCGGGAACCGGCCTGGTATCCAATCCGGAGATGATGCAGAACTGGGGGGAGGGAGAACCGAACAGGAACTGCCTGAACTGGCTTTAAACCAGAATGAACTGGGAGAACCGGTGGTTCAGGCGGTCCAGTTTCTTTTCTCCTTCCTAGTTTCACAAACCGACATCGTTTCTACAGTCCAGTATTTTATTTTTTCTCCTTCCTAGTTTGACCATTTTTTTGTTTCAAACTCAGTCCGGCATTCCTCTACAGTCTTCCTCACTCATACCCTAGCCTTCATCGTCTTCATCATTCCTCCACAATCCTCCGCCGTCCCCTTCCATTTCTACTACGGCGTCATCATCCTTCCTCACCTAAACCTGAGCTTCCATTATCTTCTAGCCATTCCCACTTCCTCTAATTTCTCGTTCACTCCACCCGAGCCTCCATTCATCTTTGTGAGGACTGGTTCATTGCATCAAGAAATTTCCACCAGCGCCACTCATCGTCGCCTATTTCTTCTGTATTTCTTCATCCATTTTTGTTCTCGCCGTAGACCATCACAGCTCATGCCATTTCTGAGCTTCCTTATTATCAATTCATCTCTATTCTTCCCCTGTTCTTCACCACCTCACCTTCGTCCAGTTCATCGCTTGGGTTATGCATTTTGGGTGCTGTGATTTTGTGATGGATTTTTGGGTTGCTGTTTCGAGCTTTTGCAGAATTAGTCTGGTGAACCTCGCGAGCTCTCATCTGGTCATCTTATTCGCGTTCCTCCCTCTCCTCTGTTCGTCGCATTTTCTTTAGTCTCGGGCCTCTCGACTAACCTCTCATTTCAACATTTTCTAGTTTGATCAAGTCCATTTCCAACCTCTTCTGCCATCTTCAATCTTCATTAACAGGTTAGAGCTCTTATTCTTGAAGCTTAATCAAATGATAGTTTAAGAAATAATTGGTTATGAATCTGGACGTCTGATGCTGATTACTGATTGCTGATTTAATAATTTTGATTATATTTTGATTAAGCTTAGTTGTTTTTTATAGATTTGGAACCTCCTCCCACTCTTGCCACTAAGCCCAATGTGCAAGTTAATAATCCTGATCCTACTCCTATCATTGACACTCCCTCTGGCTCAACTCTAAATAGTAATAGCACCCCACAAACTGCTATTGGTTTGAATAGTAATGATGCCTTTGGGATTCAAGTATCATTTACACCATCTCTTTAGGGGAAAAGTGATCCTGCATGGGAGTATTTTGCTTTTAAAAAAGAGGGAAGAACCTGTGTGTATACTTGCCTTCATTGCTCCTCATCATTTAGAGGAGGTGGGATCAATAGGATGAAGCAGCATCTTGCAGGTATTTTAGGAAATATAATTTCTTGCAAGAAGGTTCCACGTGATGTTTGCCATAGAATGGTTCAATCTCTAAAAGAAGTGTCATTGGCAAATAAGAGAAAGCTTGATGATCCAGACATGCTTCAAGAGTTTGTTGATAACTCAGAATGTGAAGTAATTGCTCCAAATTGAGAGCCAAGTAAGCAAGCTAAGAAGGCAGGTTCTAGTAGTGTTGTTGTGAAAAAAAAAAGGAAAAACTAGCGGGGTTGATAATTATTTTACCCCAAGGTTAACTTCTGGCTCCCAACTAGGGCTAAAGAGTATGTGGTCATCTAAAGAAGCTCAGTATAAAGCTAAATTAGCTATTGCAAAGTGGTTATATATGAATTGCATTCCATTTAATGCTATAAATTGTCCATATTGTTTGCCTGCTTTGAATGCACTTGCTGCAATTGGCCCAGGTTTTAAAGGTCCTTCATTTAAGGAGTTAAGGGTTGACCTGTTAACTGATTGTAGAAAAAGTGTCAACTACTTATTGAAAGCCATCGAGCCACTTGGAAAGAAAGTGGCTGCACACTCATGGCTGATGGCTGGACCGACAAAAGGCTACGAATATTAATAAATTTTTTGGTTTATTCTCCTGTTAGCTTGGTTTTTGTAAAGTCTGTTGATGCTTCACATATAATTAAGGATGCCAAGAATTTGTTTTCTTTGTTTTGTGAAGTTATTGAGTGGGTCGGTCCTACAAATATAGTGTATGTTGTGACTGATAATGCAGCAAATTATATAGCTGCTGGCAGGTTGATTCGTGAAAAATATAATCATATCTATTGGTCACCTTGTGCTGCTCACTGTTTGAATCTTATTTTGAAGGACATTGCAAGCATGCCCTATGTAGCTGACCTTGCAACAAAGGCATCAAAAATTACTGTTTTTGTGTACAATCATGTGGCTTTTCTTTCATGGCTTAGGAGAAGAGATGGCTGGATAGAAATTGTGCGCCCAGTAGCGATCAGGTTTGCTACTACCTTTATTACATTGAAAAGTTTGCATGAGCACAAACATGGCTTGCAAGCCTTGGTCTTAGATAAACACTTCCATGATAATAAACTATCAAGGACTAAAGCTGGGCAACTAGTTGGTGACATTGTGTTGGACAAGAAGTTTTGGGATGATTGCCATCAAATTGTATGTCTTATGGGTCCTCTTATCAAGCTAGTAAGAATTGTAGATGCTGATGAAAAACCATCTTTGGGTTATGTTTATGAGGGTATGCAGAGAGCAAAGAATTCAATTAAAAATTTCTTTCGCAGAAAGAAGGAACAATATAAACCTTACACAAGCATAATTCAAGCTCGGTGGGATAAGCATTTGAAGTATGATTTGCATGCAGCAACCTACTTTTTAAATCCTGCATTCATATATGATCAAGGATTTATTGAGAAGAGTAGAGTGACAGAATCAATGTTGGACTATTTTTCAATATACAAGTCTACCTATAAATATTCTGACATGATTTCTGAGATGCAAATGTACCGCAAGCACCAAGGCTCTTTTAGTCGAGAAAAAGCTCATAAAGTAGCAAATGAAATACAACCTGGTTAGCTTCTTCCTCTTTTTTTTCTTTTATTATAATTTTAAATATTAACTACTATTAATTTATTTGAATTTGATGTGGTGGCAATGTTTTGGGGGTAGTGCTCTAATATTACAAAAGTTTGCAATTCGCATTCTAGGACAAACTTCTTCTTCTTCAGGATGTGAAAGAAATTGGAGCCTATTTGAAAGAATTCATACCAAAAAAAGAAATAGGCTAGAACATGAAAGATTGAATGATCTTGTGTTTGTGAATTACAACTTGCGTTTGCTAAACAGGTGATCATTAATCATTATTCAAATTTGAAATAACTCTCTTTGGCTTCAATAATTGAATGATTAGGGATTTGATTGTGATTTTTAATATATATGTATAAGGTCAAAATTGAAGAAGGTGAGCTATGATCCTGTTGATTATGAATCAATTGATAAGCTTGAGTATTGGATAGCTGAAGAAGTTCCAACTCCAAATCCTGATTTCACTATTGAGGAAATTCAAAATGAAGATTTTCTTGGTGGAAATGCATGTCCCTTTGGATCTAGTCTTGAATTAAGGGAAAATGAAGGTTGCTCCTCTTCTTTTTACATTAAAGCTTTGTTTGGTTTATAGTTTATTCATTCATTATTTATATGTCAATGCTAACTATTTTTTTGCCAAATATATGTCTATGTGTTGTTGAAGATGTCAATGTTCTGCAATCTTCTATTTTGGATTATCAAATGCTATAAGAGTTGAAGGAGATGTTTGTGATCTCTAACATAATTTTGGAGAGTTTAATTTAGAAGATTTATATGGCAATTGAATATTGTAGTTTTTTAGTTGAATTTGGACTATTGGATTGTATGATAATGTTAGACTATGGTGTTGTGTTGTGTATGGCCATGAATGACTTTGAAGTATGCCTTTAAACTTTAAAGTATGATGAAATTATCACTTTATTAGTAGTTAGTTATCTTTACTTTATCATATTTCCTATAATCTTTAATGTATAATATTTAAAATATATTAATTTAATTACAAACGGTCTGACCTCGGTTCGACCCCGGTCCAACCTTTGAACTGTGAACCAGTGCCTTGACCGGTTCAATATCCAGTCCGGTTTTAATAACATTGTATAAAAGTGTTCTTTGCTTTTTCTCTTCCTATAGAAACGCACAAGAAAGAGAGAAAGAGAGAAAGAGAGAGAGATAGAGAGAAGGAGAAGGAAAGAAGAAGACAAGAGATTTTGAGGTAAGATTTAATGCTCAAAACTATTTCTATTATCAAAACTCCTTTATAAATATTTTCCTACTCGTCTAGAGCTTTCTAATAATAGTAAAATTTTGATGAGTGGAGCAAGTTTTAAAGTTTAAACTTAGGGTAAGTATTGACTTTTAACAATAGAAACTATTAATTAGTAGAGATAAATTAGTACTTAAATTCTATCGATTTAGATTTGTTCTATTAATTGATTTGAGAGTTTAAAATTAAGTTTTTCATTATAAAATTTATGATTTCTGGTGTATAGGATGTCTATATTGATTAAATTATGTTTTTGGGATTTAGATAAGTTAATTTAATTTAATTTTAGGTTTTTATCAGGGGGATTTAAATTGAAAAGATATGATTGTAAATTTGAGAAGTTTAGTTGAATTTTATATTTAATTGATAAATTAAAAATTATATATATATATATATCTAATGATATTTATATCATTTGATGTCATAAATTAATCAATTATCATGGTTAAGAAGTTCCCTACATATCTGAGTTTTATAGCTTGGAGAAGAGGTAACATTGGAATATCCTTTCATATATTGAGATACTGGTTTTTAGTATTGTGTATATATATATATATATATATTAATACTTGTGCGATCTTATTATGAAATGTGACATTTGTTTTATTTGATGTAAAAGAGGTAATAAGGATGGTTAGTAATATGATTATTTGTTTAGGATTAATGATAGAATATTATGCCGCATGGTTTGCCTCCATTACGCGTGTAGTGTTGGCCTTTTTCTTATAGTTCCTAATATTTTTGACATTTTGGGATGATGGGCACCTTCTTTTTAAGGAAGGGAGTCCTATTCTGATGGCAATGTACCTTTAGCTGGGTATAATCTCGGTTTAGGCTCCGGCTAGCGATAATAAAATAGTTGGGAGCGATAAGGGTGAGGTCAAGAAATGTATCACTATTGTTTTAATTTGACATTGATTTAGAAATTGTTATAAAATTGTGAATATTGCATTTCTTATTTTATGTATTGATTGTGAAATGCATATGTATATCTATGAATGTGGTTATGAACTAATTTCAAGAAGTATGTTGGTATATGTTAGAATAACCAACTGTTATTGAGATTTTTAATCTCACATGTTACTTCTTATCATTTTTAGGTAAGCAGTCAAGTGGAGTTACAAGGAAGGCACTGAAAAAGTGAGCTTAAGCTCCCTTCTCTTGGCTTGGCACGTGGTTTTCTGTTTATTTTGTAATTATAATTGCCATGACCTAAGGACCCTTTTAAATTTTATTTTGGATAATTGTTATAGGTTATTTGACTATAACTACTCATCTTTTGTTTGAACTAGACAACTTTTAAACACATCAATCTGGACCATGGTTTTCTATTGGGCCAGGCCTATTTATTTTGGATTGTACATATTAATGGTATAAGAAATGTGTATTTAGTAGAGTTGATTATATCTACAAACTATTATTGAACCCTGGACTTGCTGTAAATTATTTATTGGGCCACATCTGCCCTAAGTCCAATGGTGATTGTTAATCTTGATGTCGCCTTGTTTGGACAGGTACATTTTTAAGAAAAATATTTATTTATAAAAATAAAGGGGGGAGGTTTTCTTTTGTAAAAAAAATTAGCAAAAATTAGGTCTGTTACAAGACAGCCACAGTCTCAATAACAGAGAAATTGATATTCCTTATTACAAGGAAAGCCATAGTCAAGTAAATAAATAATAGATTCAAAATAACATATAATTAATCAATTAAAATGCTTGAATGCAAGAGATAGGCCGATATGGCCATTTTTTACCAACAGAATGCTCTCTGGTACTCTTTAGCTTATAGGTAAACCTTATACCCACTGTACCTCCACAGGCACAAAACATAAACTAAGGCATGATCTGATCCACTAACTCGCCTGTGCTCCTTCGACGTAAATCCTATGTAGTCAAAGCTAACTCCCTCCCAGAGCTAGCCCGACTTACTCTCCATGTGAGGGCTACCTTGGCCTAGACACTCAACCTCACACTTTATATGCCAGATTCCCTCTCCCACTAAGAGGTGTCAAATACTCAATCCACTAACCACTATAGTGTACTAAGCCCACAATATGAGAGGCGACATTGAGTACTAACAGTGATCAATAGAATATCACAAGACCGCATCTCCCCATTGGTGAACTCCCACCGAAATCATGCCTCCTACCCTTTTCTACCTTTCTTGAGTATTAGCCACTTCAACACTCAAGGTAGTATAGCACTCATAATTTATCTCTTAAGCGGTTCCTTAGCCTATCTAAGATACCAAACCTAGTTACACTTCCCTAAATGTAACTCCTCATTTTTTATGATCACAATGCATGCTAATAATCTTATTTCTATAAATAACATTATTAATAAATAGATAGTAAATATAAATGAATTATTATTAAAGCAATACCCCATAAACCCTTCTAAAACGTATTTTATTTGCATTTAATTGTTTAAAACACGTAATTCATGTTAGATAATATTATCTACTCAAAAATAGCTAAACAAAGTAATAAAAAATATAAATTCTTCTGTTACCTCAACCCTTTAGTATTAAAAGGGTTTTCCTTGTATAAAATAAGACTTAGTTTGTTCCTCAATTTCTCAATAAGTTCCACCAACCATTCCCTACAATATATAAGTGATCCACATCACTTTTCATGGTAAATAGTATATAAGAAAACTATAACTCATACTGTACAACTTGGGTTAATGAGCCATAATCCATCCTAATAGTCCATGTATTAAACCAACTAGTCAAATAGCATCACTTAACCACCAAAACCATTTATTAGCCACCACTAGGCCAATTTTCAAACCATATAATTTTTAATTAATTAAAAACCTTCACCTAGCGCCACCAACTTTCATAATTAGCCCTTATAATGAAAACCAAAGCTTAATTTAAATCTTGTGAGTCAAATAGCACAAGTATAACTAAATCAATAGGCTTTAACCATTAAAGAGCAAAATCCAATCTCTTAGGGTTTAATTTATACCCAAAACATCTCTTTTCATCCAATTATCCACTCAAAACATTATAGCACCATATGAAAACTCAATAACAACCTCCCAAGGACCCAAAGAAACCAAAGCTTACAAGAATAAAGCCCTTGGGATCAAAATTTAAAATTTACCTCTTTTAAAAATTGAAGAAAATCAAGATGGAAGGAAGAAGATTAATGTAGAGAGTTTACCTACTGCGTAGCCGAGCTCATAACGGCTGTGAAGCCTCCTAAATCCAAGCCTAACTCCCTCTCTTCCCCCTCTCTTCTTCCTCTCTCTCTCTCATGTATTTCTTTTCTTTCTTTCCTTTTTCATTTCTGCGTGTGTTTCTCTTTAAAAAGCTGATCTAACACTTTGGAAAAATTACAAGAAAAGGCCCAACTTTTTTTATCATAGCATAAAAGCCTGGGTCAACTTTGGTAATTTTGTCACATTTAAAAATAAAATAAAACTAAACTTTTGCTGAGTAAAATTCAAACTCTAAACCTCTATCAAATTATTCTTAATTTTAATTTAATTATAGATATTTATTTTTAAAATAAATTCAAGTCTTAAAATTTTAGGATGTTACATTTTGTGCAACCTATAACTTGATTATTTTAATAAATTCTCCCTTTTAATTATGAATTTAATTCTGGATATTAATTAAATTTTATTATGTCACATGCTATTTAATTGAATTATGTGACATAGGTGGCATGGACTTGTGCATCAATTGGGCCAACAAAGTGAAACGTTCATGGAGTTAAAGGCTAATCATTTGGATATGTAAGGGCTTCTATTTGATAGTTTAGGTCAGCTAAAATTGTGGATGACGCATGAAATTAATTATACACATATTGAAATTATCTACATATAGGAAGGTGCCACTTTGCAAGTGTGACAAGGATCCCATTTTATTTTTATTTTTTTCTTATTTCTTTTAATTAAGTATTCAGCTGAAGGGAAACATTAGGAGCACGCCATTTTGAGTCCCAAATAAGATTGATTCACCCATTCACTCATCTCCAACATTTTCTCTCACTTGTTCATAATGTTCTTCATTTTCTCTCAATTCTCTCCCTATACTTCCACTCTTTCTCCCCTATATCTTTCAATCTAACCATCCCAATTTAACCAAACCACCACCATTCTCTTTCACTCTCCCTCCTCTACAAAACCTAATAGCTTTCATAAGGATCAAACCTTATTTGATTTGGGCGAAATTCATGGGAAAAAGAGCTGGAATTTTAGAGCTTCAACTTAGAGATTGCTTGAAGATGCAAGGCTAGATTCTTGAAAGGGCTATTATATAAAGGAGGAAACCTTGAGTTTGTATTATTTTCTAGTTGGATTTGAATTTCTACT